GTAATTAAATTAGATAGTTCAGTATCAATTACAAGTCTGAAAAAAGAGAAGTCTATGTTTAATATTAGAGCATAAAGAACTGAATAGATCTTACAAGACACTCTTTACCTTCAGAATCATTTATAATCTGATATGCAGTTATCATTGAACAAATATGCTGAATTCCAGAGCGATGTAACTCTACAACATAGTCCGTTTCTTTATGCAACGATTTATCTGAAGCATCTCGCAATCGCAGCGAACTAGCGCATAGGCTAGCGAGTGATGCAGTTGCATTCATTGTTTTAACTTTCCCGTCCACGTATAGAAATTGAGACTACAAGCATAAAACAGTACGTATATTAGATGATAAAATAAAAGAAAATTTAAATATTATAGATGTATCAACAACGAACCTTCCTCAGTGACTTCATACAAACAGATGCGAATAATTTTGCATCATCACCTGATGATATTCTCTCCTTAAATTCCAACAGGAGTTTTTTAATCACATCATCAAGGTCACTCCCAATGGTTCCATAATTACAAATAACGACTGCAGCATGCGAGATATTAAGCCATCCGCCCCTGACACCCCGGAGGAGGGTACCAATAACGTCCATAATTCTGATTTTATCTTCAGGATTGATAAACATGTCAACGTTTCTCGCTAAGTAAAATAAAAATTAAAATAGCTCGATGAAGTTTCATAAACTCATTAAACCATAAAACTACATACATTTTTTTACAGGCCTCTCAGCTTCCTGTTCACTTTCATCATCATCCTCTTTTCTTATTTCTCGTTCAAATTTTGATTCTGCTTCAATATATGATTCTCTGAAGTTCGCAATTTCCTCTTCAACAAAATCTGCAACTCTATCTTGTAGATCCGATTGACAAGATAACTTTAATTCTGATAGATTGGTACCGTTCGAATGGTGAAATACATCACTTGAAAATAGCCAATACATATTACCAAACGTTCGAAGTGCCTAATATTAGTGTGAATAAAATGATTAATATGAAATTAATAAAAGTCGTGCAATCAAATAAATTAAATAATATTTTAGGCCATACCGTTGACTTAACATTATGTAATGCTTGGGATTCATATGATATACCAACTTCAAATAATGTCTGCACAATCTGATCTCTTTTTACAATTAGATCGTTCAATACATCAAGAGATATATCTTCTACAGCAAGTTCGTTTGGGAAAATGTTTACGACTTTCCATAATATATAGTACCAAAGAAAATTAATTGCAGACGATACGATCTAAATATATATTACCATCAATTTGATAATTAAGTGAAATTTTAAAGATCACATTGAAAAAGTAAAAACACCTTTTCTTCTTCTATATTCCCCAGCAATCCTCTTCTAACTAACCGAATAATACAGTTATAAACATTCTTGTTATTATCATCGCATGCCTCTACAGCATCGACACAATTCACAACTGTGATTAATTGTTCTAAGCGCTTTAACGCTACACAAAGTGAATGAACTTGATCGCTAGTAAGATCCATCGTCAATAAGTCCTTAATTATAAATTAAAAGATTTAGTTTCTCTTTTTAACAACAAATTGCTTAAATAAGCAATATACCTTATCCTCACATTCCCTCAGGAATGTCTTAATCACTTCTTCTTGTAATTCTCCAAATCTCGTTTCTGTCATTGATGTAAAATTTTTATATTGTTTCATATGTTGAAATGTTGCGGCAGCATGTGAAAGAACAACTGGATGTGTGTGTTTTAGATAAAGCTTCACTACATCTTCAACAAGTACCTCATAGGCCTATTAAAATAGAGGACGGCTATCAATTCCTATTTATCAAATTTTAGGGACCAAGGTCTGCGATTAAGTCCTAACCTTGTGAATGCGCAGATCAGAATATACATCTAGATTCATCAATATGGGTATCCGTAGAACCTCGGCTATTCGACCTGCATCAGGCGCATATTTTGTCAAAAGTTTAGGTAAATTGGTCACCATATTTCTCGATATTTCATCACGCATTTCGTCGATATGGTTTTCCGTCTAAGAAATTAATAACTTAGTACATGGAACTGATTGGAGAAAATTATAATAAAAGACGCAAACAAACCTTCTTTTTATCTTTAGTCGTATTATCCGAAAGAATTAATTGCAAGCATTTGACAAAAACCTGTACTAACACAGTTTCTTCCTGCTCGCTTAGACGATAACATTCTTCAATAGTATCAGTACTAATGCCACCACCTTTAGATGTCCGACTGTTATTTATCATGGAATGATCTTTAGAAAGATAATCTGCTAATTTCTGCCATTGATGCAAAAGATCTAGTTCTATCCATAGATCTTGGATTGCCAAACTTATTCTACTATTCTCCACATCACCGATACTTTGTGCTAAAATGCCGTCTTCATATTCCTCTTCATCCATTTTATCACACATTTCATCTTCCTCCTCTGTATCATCTATAACTTTAGCATATTTAACCAAGAATTCTGCCAAGCACTTGAACGCTACCCAATCTCGTTTTACAGTGGTTGCTGCGTTGCCACTACCGTTTACACGTTTTCGTTTCGTACCACCATTTGTTGCTAAGAATGTTTGAACCTTTGAGATTCTCTCCCGTATAAAATCATCCTCAAGTGTCTCTTTTACGAATGACGCGATTGCTTTCCTTACTCTTGTTACATCGCAATATATAAGAAGTGACAGTTGATCACAGTCTTCACTTTCCAACATCCCGATCTTATGAATTATGGTAAGTATTTGAATGCTGGCTATACGAACATTTATATCTATTTCCCTTAAAGCCATTTCTAACAGTCTAGGTTTGAACCGTGAGGTAAAATTTCGCAAACCGTTTACAAATGTCTCATTAGTATAAAGCTGTTCTAAGACTTTCAACGACTCCAACCGCACTATTGGTGACTTGTAATAAAAATTTATCAATCATAATACATCAAAACATATACACAATTTTAAGATCTGTAATCTAAATCTCACCTTATCAGACAACTGCCATCCGATATACCTTATGTTTGTATCATCCAGAAATCGACTAGGGTACTTAACGACCCATACACCTAATTCCTTTATACATTCTGCCCTAATTATTGCTTCAACATCTCGGTAACGGTGAACAAATACACTAAATTGTAAACATAGTAAGTGCAAGCAAAGATGCGTAACAACAATCGGACACCATTTGAATGGAAATATGTTACCTATCGAAAAGTTCCTCAAAGTACATATCTAATTGTTTTTTTTTTTTGTCCAAATCCTGAATTTTTGACTGCAATTCATTAACTCTATCCATATTTTTGGAATTTCGGGGTGCCCTGGTTCTTTTTTCAACGCTCAACTGACGAGATGCAATTGTCCACGAATCATGAACTTCTTGGGCAAGTTCACAAAGACAACTAAAAAGATGAAGAGCAATGATGGTTGCAGTATGTCGGAAAGGACGAAAAGAGGAGCTAATAATATAATGCAATTATAACAAAATTAGATGCTAAAAAGGAGTTAATTTGAAAACATTGAACTGTAAAGTCCAAAATGTTTAGTCCACCTTGACATAGGAACTACCCATATTTGAATAGTTTCAAAGAATACACCATCATACAATACATCATGTTTTGCATGGCCTATAAGTTGTCTAAAAAACGTTAAGAAATTCTTTCTAAATTTTCTAAATTCCCTGGACCTTGAAATTAACGGATAATCGGCCACAGGTTCCTGTTTTTAGATAGTTTAATAATTAAATTTTGAACAAGAAGCAAAAATTAATCAGGAAACAACTCACTTTTTTTAACGCATCTTGTAATTCTTCCAGGACTTGTGGTATGGCATCATCATCTTCAAAACCCTCTCTCGCTATAATCTCAGAACACCCGCATGACTGGCATATAATAATTTTGCAGCCAAATTTCGTTTTTCGAATTAATAAAAGCTCATATTCCGGGTTGAACATAATAATCAAAGCTAGATGTGTGCACAAATACAAACCCGAATGATGAAGTTAATCAACGACAATAATGAGTTGGTATGATTTTCAGTTTCTTCTTTATATGCTTTCACCCATTCTGAGGCGACGTTGTCCAAAGCGTTGCTTTGATCAAAAATCGCTTCTGAAAAATCAATAAATCTGAGCCCTTTAAGTTATTTTTAATCATTTCAACGTGTTATTCATTTGCATACCATAGAGGGAGAGCCCACTCTCTTCGAAAGGTTCGCGAGAAAATCTAGTTGTGCTCATTATAATATGATCGCGTAACTAAAAAATAAAGACTACGTATTTATTGTTGTGTCCTGGGTGACATTTTGTTCCTTTGATCGACCAATCAAATCACGAGGCAAGGTGTAACGTGAATATCAAAAACATTCGTTTTTATAATAAAAAACAGAGTGCAATCTCAATGTTACGTTCAGGTTTTGATTAGAATTTGGGCTAGGATTAGAGGATAATACTTTAACAAAAAAAAATTTTTTGAAGGTAATTTCATAGAAAATTTGAAAAAAACACGGTTGTTTTGATTTCTATTCACGATCTCGAGATTTGATTGGTTAACCAGTAAAACGCGACATATCAAAAGAACTACTTAACAGTAGAAACCAAAAACCTGTTTAAGTTAGGGGCTTATTTATGTATTAAACATCACATTATACAAACGCGTAAACATAAAATATATGTACACGACGTTATAAACGAAAAACGCCAAATTTATTTTTTTTAATAAAATACAATAAATAGCTTGCAAAATTTTTTTTAAGTAATTTTTTTTTGTCAGTTTTGCTTTTTTTAAAAAAAAGGTTTCTGTATTTTGGGAATGATGTTTTTATTCAAGTTATATGGACGCGGATGCTTTCAGAGGCTTCCTTACACAGGAGGTTACAACTAGTTACGCGTGTACTTTTGGTGTCTAATTTAAGTAATTCGTCTACATATTACTATACAGATTCTACATTAGGTGTCATACTTGCAAGCTAATTACGGGTCTTGCCTATTTTAATCTTTTGCGTATATAATGCATCTTGTATTACAGAAACATCATTAAGATTAAACCTTTAGGATTATTTTATTTTTGACAGAAAACCTATTAGAATTTTTTATGTTTTATATATAACTAATTTAGTTTTATATAACATACTATAATTAAATTAATATTTGTAATTACAGATATTTTATTTTATTTTATTTATTTTTTTATTCTTTGACAGTCTTGTTGGAGCTCAAATACAAAATTTTACTATTTGAAACATTAATTATTTCTAGTAATCCATATTTTGAAATTGCAAGTCTGACATTATCCAAGTACAGAAACTGCACTTAAATGCAACTTGTTACACCAGTTTATGCTTAAACTAGGAGACCTTGTTAGCTCTGTCAAGAACTGAACCAGAATGAATTTGTTCTATTCTGCATTAGTTCATTCACCCCTTCATTAAATAGCTAAATATATTTTGTTTCTCTTTTTTTATCTTTATCATTATTAGCTTTCATCTTACTTGTTATATTTCTTTTGTCATTTCTTTTACTTTTAATTCTCTTTGAAGTATAGTTTTCATCTTCATCTCTCTTTACGTTGTACTGCTTCATCTTAGAAATTATTTTATTCTTATCTTCTTATTTGAATACTGTTTTGTATTTTTTTCATTATATTTTTTCTTTAAACATTTCTTTAACAATTTTAATATATAGTTTTATAGAATATTTTGTACCTCTTTATGATACTTATTTTATATATAATTTCTTAAACATACTTTTCATTGCTAAGTCACATATACATAACTCATAGTACTTAACCTTATCTGTTACAATTCTTTCAACAAATATTTTGTTTAATTTGAGTTTTATAATCTTGTTTTTATTTACTTTATCAAGCTTTTTCTATACCAATTAGCATGCCAACTCTTCAATATTGTTCTAATACCTACTGTATTCTTCATATCTAAGTAAATATATCAAAATCTCTTGTTTCTTATAGTATTCTTTATATTCGTTTGACTCGTATATGTCTGGTATTCTTTTCTTTAATATCTCAAGAACTGGTAAACTATTGCTTATATACTTAACTCTAAATATTATTTTCTTATTCATCTCTAGTGATTTACATTTGACTTTTATTAAACTTCTGTTTTCTTTTTACAATGTTTTTCAATCTCTTTGAACTTCAGCATTTGGTTCAAGTTCTCTAATTATCTTTGAGTACTGCCATTCAGTACTATTCATCATATTTATTAATGTCTTTATAAACTTTTTAATAGGTATTTTTATTACTGAATTTTTCCAATACAATGTACATAAAAATTAACAGTTTTTTTCAAATTTCAGGTCTGAGTATTCAACTAACAATATGCCTTCTTTCGCAAGTTTGTTAGCTCTTTCATTTCATACTACTCTACTATATGCTTTAATCTTGACTAGTACTAATTCAATATTTTTTGATCTGCATATATCTTTGATCTTTATTACTAATCTGAAGTTTTTGGTTTTGCTTTATGCTCTAATATTAAACATAGACTTCTCTTTTTTCAGACTTGTAATTGATACTGAACTATCTAATTTAATTAC